CATTATCCCGTTTGTTTAAATCTTGGGTGGTGCTTTGACAAAACAGTGGTAAAATTAGCCTCACATGGACAAACTCTGAAAATGGATAGTTAGATCACTGGATCTAACCCCAGGAAATTCAGTTAACTGAGTGCTGTACTGTGGCAGTTCAGGGCTGTGGGGTGAAGGGGAGCTACAGAAGCATTCATGGAGTAGAAATCAAGGTTTGTTACTTAAAAATACAAAAATAAAAGGCTAGTTTTAAAAACACTTTGTCCTGTTTTCTAAAAGTAGTGGTCAGACATAGCACAACACCTTTTTTCCCCTCTGTTTTGCGGGAAGAACATTATAGGGAGAGAATAGCTTTTGTTGTAGAATGAATACAGCTTTCTTGACATCCTTAGAGCATCCTGTGGAGCCAATACAGAAATTAATCTGTGTCCTGATTTGTGTTTGCTGACCTGCAGGGAGGGTCAGACATTTTTCTTCACCTGCTGCTGGGATGAAGCTGAAAAAACAGTGGTTTTCTAGAACACGCTGCTAGTAGTTCCCTTTTGCTATTTAGGAAGGAGGAGGTCACTTCAAGCATCTTTTTTTCATAAATACTGAGCTCACAGAAATTACTGTATGCAATAATTGCTCCATATTGTGTGCAACTGCAGTAAGAAGTATTAGTTAGTTCATTATTGGTGTCCATGCTCTTAGAGAAGCTTAATGAGTTCAGCTTTATTCAGTGTGTCCATACCTCAGAGAGAGGGATTGTATTGGGTGAAGTAGTGTCAAAAGAACAAGGAATTCTGCAGTTCTGCAAAACATGTAAAGAAAGTTTGTGAGTGAGCAGACAGTGAAGTATTAGGAGTGTTGAGGTCTCAACACTGATCTGTTCATATGGAACATCATTAGTAGCTCTCATCCTAAAGAGGACAGGAGTTTAATAACTAAGAGAGAGCTTTCTGATCTTGTTGGGCTTTGGAAAAGGGTATTTTCTAAGAGGAGATTGGAGAAACCTGACTTTAATTCAGTGAAAAGGTCTTTGGGAAGATTAATGAAGTTGCTGCCTGTAAGTAACACATCATGGCTATAATTGAGGAGGAAGAAAAGACAAATTGATGCTGAAATAAGGACAGTGGGTGTGAATGAACTGTACCCATTGGATTTGAAGGGAAAAATAGAATGTTTCTACTCAATAATTGGATTCCTCTGGTGATTAACTTTACAGTGACAACAGTGAAGCTACTACAGTGAGATGAAACATTTCTGGACATACATTTCTAGACTGCATTGTTGCCTGCAGTAGCAGAGGAGAAAGTTTAGCAGTGCAGGGCCCTTTCTCCTCAGCTGTTTCCACTGTGGTATGGAACATGTCCCAAACTTCTATTAATACTCCTTGTGGACTTTACTGGTAGAAATATCCTCACCCTCAGGCCAGTCAGTGGCCCCAGACACTGACCTGTAACCCCTGGAGTGACAGGCTGCATGGCATGGACCCCAGAGAGAGCTCTCCTTCCCCTTGTATCCCTGGTTCTTGTTGAGAAGGGAACAAACTATTGTGTACAGGGTATGAAACAATGGCAGGTAAACTAACACCTTGCTTTTACTTAGTTCTTCAGGAAGTAGGGTTTAAGCATAGTCAGTACTAGCTGGACACAGACATGGTGGAGGATTGAGGAAGTTTTTTACTGTAGGTATTAAAAGCAAGAAGGTTGCAGCTGAAGGATTAAAGGGGGAAGTAAGACATATTTTTAACACCTATTGTAATTCAGCTTGTGGTGTTTATTAAAGACAGTGGTAGATACTCCATCACAGGATTACCTGTCTCTAAAAAATGTGTTCTAACTCATCTGTGGATTAATTGAGTTAAATACAGGAATCTCTAGACAGAATCCTCTGGCCTTTTGTTATCTGGGAGGTCAAAATTCACAGATCTTAATGGTCTCTTTGGCCTGAAGAAGCTATGAATCAAGTAGAAATCTGAATGCTCAAAAGCACTGTGAATTTTTAATCATTAACATTTTGCTTAGCACTAGAACAGCTCACATTATTAGGTAGCATGTTACAAAAGAAACTATTCATGTGTTTAATTCCCCGTGCTCTAAAGATGTGATTGCTGCCATAGACTGAAATGCATGGCTTTTTAAAAAAAAATTAAGAAATTGCTGACTCCAGAGTGTAGAAAAACAAATGTTTTTTTCAAAGAGTTCAGAAGGTGACAGTATCTCAGCTTTTCAGTTTTTTTTTAATTCTCCTCTTAGTACTCTAGCAGTCCCTTCCAGTTGGACTACTACTTAGCAAAATTAACTTCATGTAGTAAAGAGTAGAGTATGCTAAGGCCTTTAGTGTTTTAATAACAGCTAGCTTTGATCCTGTTTATATCTTGATGCAATTACAGTGTCTTTGGTTTTGGGGTTTTCTTTTAAAAATTCTTCCATACTGAGGTACCTTGGTGTACTTATAAGACAAAAGTTAAGCTTCTCAGTAAAAAACCCAAGGTTTAGCCTGGATAAGTGTGTTTGGGTTTGACTTTTCTTGAAAGCACCGAGCACACATCGTTTGGATTTCAGCAGTAGGAGTTGTGAATGCTGAGCATTCTGTAAATCAGTCTTGTATCAGAATCTTAGTTTTGACTCAGTGGATATTGCTTCTAGCATGATGTGACCCTGCAGAATTCACCAGCACCAGAGAAGAGCCCAGCCAGTCAGCCACAGCTTCCCTAATCCAACTGGAAGGAGAGTGTTCTCTGTGAGCCCTGTGCTTATACAGGCTACTCTCTTTTCCAGGGCACTTACAGCCCTGTGCTTATACAGGCTACTCTCTCTTCCAGGACACTTATCAGCATCAGTGAAGCTTGGGTGAGCTTGTCAGGGGGGATGTTTTCACCTCAATTTCTGTCCAGTTTGCAGTGGTGAATCTGGTATTGCACACTGCTCCTATAAAAGAGCTCTGACTGTGCTGAATCTGCTTTCTGGTGCTAAGCCATGTGGCCACATGATCAGCTGCACTGGGACCTGGAGGGGTAGGTCTAAAAACTGCACTGCCATAGAACATGCTCTGCCAGGTAAACAGAAAACTCTGTCTTTATAACATGACATCTCTTGTCTTACCTCGTTGTGAACGTTCTCGAGTATATTCCAGTCAGCCTCAAATATATGCACCACTTACTACAATGTTTTGCAGTTCAGTTTTACAGTTACAGCACACAGACCTAAAGTTTACCGAGGTGATGAAAATTGCTGTGTTTGTAGGTGGTTGAGCTGAAACCAGGGGGAAAAGATATTCCTGTCACCAGTGCTAACCGAATCGCCTACATCCACCTGGTGGCAGATTACAGGCTGAACAAACAAATCCGACAGCACTGCTTGGCTTTCCGGCAGGGACTGGCCAACGTGGTCAATCTCGAGTGGCTTCGAATGTTTGATCAACAGGAAATACAGGTAACACCACTTAAAACCACAGAAAACAGTTGGTTTAAACAAATAAATGCTATTTCTTGCCTGTAATATAATGGTCTCATTTCCTCCTCTGTTAGGTTCTGACTTCTGGTGCCCAAGTTCCTATTAGTTTGGATGACCTTAAATCTTTCACAAACTATTCAGGTGAGCGTATTTTACTTATATTAAAAAATGTAATCAGGAAGGTTTGGATGACCTTAAATCTTTCACAAACTATTCAGGTAAGCGTATTTTACTTATATTAAAAAAATGTATTGTGACTGACTCAGGAATAGATAAATTTGCTTTCTATCCTGGCTTTTAAAAACAAGTTGTAGGGTCATACTTCTTACCTTTCACCAAACTGTAGATGGGCCTGAGTTTCAAAAGATTTGCTAAAATAACAACCCAGTTACCAAACTGTAGATGGGCCTGAGTTTCAGAAGATTTGCTAAAATAACAACCCAATCTTATATATACTGGGAAATAGAGATATGCAGTTTATTTTATCTGCACACTTAAATGATTTTTAGCTGGATAATTAGAGAATGTTCCTTTTCTAAATGAAAGTTAGTTAATGATAGTGTCTGGTTGACCTGAAAAGAAGTGTGGAAGTGACTTTGGGATAGTTGTTTTTACCACCACATTCAATAGCATTTCTCAGACAGTCTGAAGAGAGAGCTCATATTTTTTCCTTGTGAGAAATGCAAGATACCTTACTTCATTTTCTTTCCTTGCATTTATCATGAGTGTAATCAAAAAGTAGCTACTAAATCATCAGTTCACATCTGGACTTAGCTCAAGGTAAGTTCATTCCTTCAGTAATATCCTTGGTCTTTTGTACACTCTTGGAGTAAAAGGCCAAAGTTATTAGCTAAATGATAAATGAAATAAAGTTAATTTAAAATAGGATACAGTGAAGAAAACTGCAGCTAAGAAGCTGAGGGATATAGTAGCCATAGTTAAGCAATGAAACTGAACATGTAGTGATCAGAGATCTATAGGTACTGGAGGTTAGCAGTATGAACCTGCTGGTTATAATACTGTCCCCAAGCTTTCAGGATTGATGCTAGGTTTTCTGAAGAATTTATTTCTTACATAAAACTATTCTACCTATAAATTATTGAAATCTCATTATAGGTGGCTACACAGCAGACCATCCTGTAATTAAAATATTTTGGAGAGTCGTAGAAAGCTTCACTGACGAAGAGAAACGCAAACTACTCAAATTTGTAACGAGCTGCTCACGACCACCTCTTCTGGGGTTTAAGGTATATGTCCTCTGACTTCTGGCAGGTTTTTGGCAGTGCTGCAGATGTTGATCCAAGCTTTTCTTGTCTGTAGGAATCTACAGTTTGAGAACAGTACTCCTCTGTGACTACAGGAACAGCTTCGTTGTTTGCATTTGGTGTATCATAAGTTTAGTTTTAAGATATTTAATGAAGTGTTGTTCTGGTGTTTTCTATTTTAAATGCAGAGTTGGATAAGCTCTACGAACCCAGTGGTTGGAGCATTGACTCTGTGTCATGGAAGGTTCTTGCTGCCATTTCATGTCCTTGTGCAGAGGTAGAACTGCTGCCAGTGTCAAGGAACAGGTTGAGTTAAGAATAATGTCTTTTAAGTCAGGCAAAAGAGAATGTAGGATATAAAAGCAGCTATTAAATTTGAACCTCTTAAATTAACCGTTTGAAGCAGGACATGTATTGTGTTTTCTTCTAATTACCATTTATCTGCTTATAGGTCACAGCTCATTGCCCTTTGTAGCTAAATATTTTGCTGCTATCTTCAGATTGCTATTTACAGTGAAGCTTAAATATGAAGAAAACTTTTGTCTACTGCTGCTAAAACTAAAGAGAGGCCAAGGCAAGGTGAAGACATTTTGAAAGTAAATTCTGGGGATATTCTACCCATGAGTTTCACTGGACTGCAAAATTTTGGCTAAGAACCAGCTGTGGGCTTAATTTCCTCTAAGTGTGGGAACATTCAGTGCTGTGTGGTTCTCTTACCATGTGGATAGGCAACATATTCTCCATCTTCAGTATCTATAATCTGTAGCTCAGCTACACTCTTTTTATAGACACCTAGAAGAGGAATTTGCACTTTCAGTTGGTAATTTTTCTGACTGTTTTGTATGTCTACTTCAGGATGAAATGACTTGTGTCTTAGACATCACAAAACATACTAACTAGACCCAGTTTAACAGTAAAGAGTGTCCAGGGTGACTAGATTTGGATGTGAAGACAATGGAAATGGCTCTTTGATCACGTGAATCCTATCCAGGGTATTTGGTGATTGATTTATGTGATTGATTATTTAAAAGCCTGCAGCATTTCTCCTAATCTCTTCAAGTCCATGTGAATATCACTGTGCAGTACTCTAGCAACAAATAGGATTTTAGGGACAGCAGGAAGAACAGTTGGAAAACTCTGGGGTGAGACCAAGATAGACCAGTGCACATCAGTCATGTGAGGAAGGGAGAATTGGGAAACACCTGTGTGGAAACCGAGTAAACAGAAGTCTCCATTAGTTGTCATCCTCTTTAATTACAAGAGGAGAGGAGGAAATGCAGATGCAGGTACCCAGCTTTGGGGTAGCCAGTATGACACATGGAGAGATGGAGGAAGTGAATCAAAAGTCTAAAAATATTAAGGCTGGCAGTGACACATTAGGAAGAAGCTAAATGTGGAAAGCTGAAATTTGTGTGTGCATGTGGGAGATGGACCACAACCTGACTTAACATACTCGGCTAGGAAAAAATGGAAGTAGGCATCACATTTTCAGCATGAAAGCAGCAAGTTAAAAGATTAATTCACTGTGCAGCAGAGGTGTGAGCTCAGTCATGTGTGACAGTCTTGGCAGCAGAAAGCAGCGTGAAGAGGTGTCACTGGTGCTCTGCTGGGCAGCACTGATGGGTCAGGCAGGGCTTGCATGGTGACTGCAGGAGTGTTTTGGTAAGGCAGGTTTACCACCAAACCAGGGGTTTGCCAGAAAAGGAAGTACCATCAGCAGTAATGTCTGGATAGCCTATGACAGTGTGTTGTTTAGAGCTGTGAAGCCACAGGAATGCTGAGCATTAGCAGCCCAATAACTCTCTGAATATATTTATGTTGATGGTAGACATTAACACAAATGATCTTCAGAATTTGTTTGCACTTGTAATGTGTGTGCTGTGTTTTTCTGAGAGAAACACCAATTTCTGGTTCTCACTCTGGAATCTTGCACGTGCTTTATGTTGTGGAACCATCATGTTTTCTTCAAGTTAGTGTCTGTCAATTTAAGATAAGGAATTGTCTTGACATTCATAGCTGATAGGCAGCACAGTCTAGCTCTGCATCATTTAAAAATGTTAAACTTTCACTGCCAGAGTCAGACTCAGAATAACGTTTACTAAAGCTAATTAAAGTTTAATAAGTTTAATAAATGTGATTGTTACGGACCAAAAAAAAGGAAGTCATTAAAGTGTGGTTGAAAATTGTTAAGTTCCAATCAGGTCACATAATAAATTGATGATACTTTTCACTTCCAAACTATTGCAGTTTCCCGCTGTACAGTATTTAATTATGCAACAAATGGTGCCCTTGGCATGACATTTCAATTTAGAACTCCATTTTTCCATTTTTAAAGCTAAAGTAGGGGAATTCAATTAGCATTTTGAAAGGAACACTAAAAATGCAGCATTTTAGCTGTGAAATACTTTTAAGGCCTCCATTTGAACAATAATTTAGCTCAGAATCTCATTGACCTTTTGCCTTTGGAGCTGGAAATTTTTTCCAGTTTCTAAAATCAGAACTTCTTTACCTCAGGCAAAGCATTTGATAAAACCACCAGTCCTGCCAGGCAGAGCAGTGCTTTAGAGGTAACAAATAAATGTATTTTTCACTATACTCTTTCTCAGAACTAAAAAAAAAAAAAAAAAGTGATCTTTGGATAATAGTTACCACATTAGAATAATAATCAGGGTTTGAGAAGTTTGTGTCCTTACAAACTCACTGCATGTCAATATTATGTTTTTGTAACATTGTAAGTTTGCAGAATAGACTTGTATGAACAATAACAAATGGCTGTGTTTTCCTTAGAACCAAATAAATTGTGTTGTGTTTTGCAAATCAGTGGGTCTTGCTGGGGTCGAGGGAGAGGGAAGCACTGCACAGTTCAGGAGTGGTTTTGGTGCTACCAGGAGTGAAAGAAAATGCCATTTGAGTGTGTTGTTGTGACAGGTTTTAATCTAGTGATTTACTTCCTAGAACTGTGTGCTGGCTGCCACAAGGATAGGCTTTGGCTTGTATATCTCTTTGTGATATGTTTTTTTTTTTCTCCTCTTGCATTTTCCAGGAGTTATATCCTGCATTTTGCATTCACAACGGAGGATCTGATTTAGACAGGTTACCTACTGCCAGTACCTGCATGAACTTGCTGAAGCTTCCTGAGTTTTACGACGAGAACCTGATGCGAAGCAAACTGCTTTATGCCATTGAATGTGCTGCTGGGTTTGAACTGAGCTGAGTCAAACTGATGCTTGTTTGGATGATCTACAGAGGAACTAACCAGTGCCTACTCTATAAGCAGCACCCATACCCAAACAGTTTTAAGGGAATTCTGTCTAGGTTTCTGCAGCTCTTGTGTCTTATCAAATGCCCTCAAATAGGTTTCATTTCTAAACATGATTTCTTAGTTAGCTTTCATTCCTGAATCTTACGTTGACACTGCTTAATGATTCAAACCAATGAATTCTGTGTGCAGTGTGGCTGATTTCTGTGTTTATGTAAAGAAAGAGCACATTAAAAGAACAGTGACATCTCAGTGAAATTAACCAAAGATGAAGCTTTGGCTTTGTGCTGTTCAAACATAAATAATTTCACAAACTGGCAATAAGTTGTGTACCGTGAAGTGCATTGGGATGAAGTACAGGGCTAACATCCTGTAATTAATCTTGGAGATGGAAGTGAAGCAGATGTTTGCAGATATCCCAGAGCTGAGAGGATGAAAATGCTCATTACCGATAACCTGACATCTTTACTTATGTTGTAGAATTGTTTACAAGGCATAGTTGTTGCAGAACTGGTTTTGATTTATACTATCTTCCCTCGAGATGGTAGGCACTGAGATAAAATGGGTATAGTATTCCATTTGTGCTTTCTGAAATACCTTGAAGAAGTAGGGTTTGCATTATTTTAAGTTCAGCCTTTGGCTGCATCACTGTCCCTTGGACACTGTTGGGAGTGGATGTGACTGTCCAGGTTGTCTCTGGTTTTTTTCTGTCTTTTGTGCCCGTACAGGATTTTTGGTTGGTTGGTTTAAATGAATCAGGCTCCTATTGCATACACAGCACATGCAGAAGTCATCACTTTGGACAAATACACATGTAACAATTATTAAAATTATTTGAACCAAAGTTCTCAGGCTTTATCTCTTTGAAGCCTGTGGTGTTCACATTCCTTTTCCCTGTCATTTCTTTCCATCTTAAATACCACATCTGTGCTGTAGACACTAACCAAATTAATTTTTTGGGGTGATTAAACAGCTTTTATATCCATCTCCCTGCAGTATTTCTGCTAGAAAAGTAGGTGGGAATATGCTGCTTAATATAATTTGATATCTGGGGAAAAAACTGCATTCATATGGAAGGAGCTGATTCTCTAGTAGTAGGCACATCATTGGGTTTCATATGCAAACTGCATATTTTAAAAAGGAATTATGGTTCAGACTGTAAGATTCATAAGTACATCCCTGTGAATTTTAGGTTTATATTTTAAATCATCACAAATTACAATCAAATTTGTATTAATCTCTTATGCAAAAAAATATTTTGCTGTTACTGGAAACTCTGTTGGATTTCCTATTTAATAAGCAGTAACCAGCAATATCCTTTTAAATGTGGGGAAACTGAGTGATTTTAAGATGTTTACTAGTAACCATATAAAAATGTATAATTTCTTAATTTGGGTAATAAATGAAGTGTTAAAATACTATTTGTAGTCTTGATGTACAGAAATAAAACAATTGGTTTTCTTTTTGGTTTTGCTTTAGGCTTTTTATTTATGTTAAATGTTACATACCCAACCTATTCTTTACTCCAAATTCTTTTCTTGTATATTTTTCTACATAAATTATGGAACTTGTAAAGAAGTCAAAAAAGATCAGTAATAGTGGAACTGCCTCCTCCTTATTGCAAAACCTGAACACTTCCTTTAGATAGCATTATTTATTTTAGAACCTAATGCTTTAAATATTTTGAAATTATTTTTCAATTCCATTATTTTGCTACATTGGGTAGTGTTGTATCTGTATTTTGTAAAATTAAATTAAATTTTTCTATAAAATATTTGTATTTTGGAGATTGTGTTGGAGTCATGCCAAGTACCGGTGCCCGGTGACGTACGCTTTCTGCTTTGGGAAAGGAGACAGTGCACACTATTCCTGGCTGTGAGCAGGAGAGCTGTGGGTTCCACAGGGAGGGTAGGATGGGGGAAAAGTGTGAGTCGCAGAGAGGTGTCATTGCAGGAATCACAGAGCTGCAGAAAACTTCAGGAGAGAAGCTGAGTTTGCTGAAAATACTCCGACGTTTTGTTTCTTCGGGATGTAGTACTCGGTGATCGTTTGTATATTCTGTACATTAGGTGTGAAATTCTGACGGGCAGGGAGTGAGAACAGTTGTAGCCCAGATCTCATTCTGCAGCTTCATTCTGCCTGTGCTTCAGCAGCTTCACCACCTTCAATATCCAGACTGCAATAAGAGGAGGGTAGGGCTTTCCTTGGGCAGCCAGTGCTTCCCGTTCTGCGGCGTTGTGAGAGTCCCTGCTTTTCAATGACCTATTGCTGGATATTCCAAGGAACAGCAGGTAAAGGTATGAGAAGCAGCATAGGCAAGATCAGTCATGTCCTGAGGAGCTGGGGGGGTCTAAGTGATCTGCCATAGCACTTATGTAGCAAGAATTGTTCCCATATGAAACTGGATTTTCTGTTCTTTTCAAAGAAGAGCAAACTCTCTCCCAGCTGTGAGGCTCTCAGAGTGTAAGTAGGCAGAGGCAGGAAGCCTCTGCATGCAAATAACCTGGCATATTGTAGATTTGATCATCAGAATTATAGAAGTAATAATGATGGGTTTGGGGTTGTTTCCTGTACAAGACAACCTTTAAAGTCAATTTCTGTACTACAGTGTTTCGTCCTCCTAGTTCAGTACTTGCTTTTTGTAAAATGACAGCATTTTCTGATTGTTTTTTGTTTTCAAATAAGTTTTGGGTTAAAATTTTGTAACCTGTTCTAAAAACATTTTTGTCAAGGTTTATATGATGGAAGAGGTCACAAAGTTTTCATCTTGATAAAATTAAATGGCATTAAAAGTGGAATAAAGAAAGAAAATTGGCACTTGGTCTGTTTATCTCAATGAGAGTTTTCCCAGAGGAGTGTTTAGTCCTAGTAGCTGGATTGAAAAAAAAAAACACAACAAAGCAAAACAGAATTGATTGGCCTTGTTCCTTAATCTAGGTTGTCTTCCGTCATGGTCCTGAGAGCCAGACTTGTCTAAATGCCACAAAACTCACTTGTGATTTCTGGAGATCATTTGGATATCTACAATAGAGAAAGATTTTCTTCCAGTTTCATGCGTAAACACTGAGCTGACAGAACTCTGAACAACAAAGATATCTTCAGGGTTTTTTGTGGGGATGCTCCATAACTTGCAAAAAAAAAAAAAAAAGAGCTTCCTGATGCTACTTAGTACCAATGTGGACAGTTTTTTTGGCACCAATTGAGTAATCTACCACAAACATCCTAATTTGATCCTATAAAGGGGTTTGGAATTCAAAGAAAACACTTGAGTGCAGTGAGCCCATGAATTTCAGTTTATACCAAAAAATAATGGTCAGATGCCAGTGAGACAGCACATACTCTTCACTACTGAAAAACAGTACAGCACAGAAAAAAAAAAGAGCTGATTTTCTTGGAATGTTTTGTCAGACCTGTGATTTTTTTTGTATTTATAATTATATGCAAAACCTTTACAACATTTGCTCATATACATGAATCTGTGTTAATAATGGTTTGTGATGTAAATGCTTGTTACTATTTTTTTTCATGATGCTTTGCCTGTCAGTGAAGGAGAGAAAAAATGAACATGGTCTGTAAAACTGATCAGGATATCTATATTTTTATTGACTTCTGCTTTTGTGAATAAAATAATTTTGAGTTTTCTTGAAACTCTGCAGAAACACGCTTTCTTTTTTTTTTGTTTTCAGTAGATTAGGCATTCTCTTATAAAAGATTGATAGTACTGAATAGATTCTAAAAGCAGCTAATATTAACTGTTTGTTGGTCTTGAAGTTAGAACTATTGGCACAGGCTGCCCAGGGCAGTGGTGGAATCACCACCCCTGGGGATTTCAAAGACTGTAGATGTGGCACTGAGGGCACTGAGTGGTGGGTTTGGCAGTGCTGAGGGAACAGTTGGACTCAATCTTCTTAGAGATATTTTCCAACCTAAATAATCCTACAATTCTATTACTTTAGGAAGATTTATACCTTCAGTTTTCAAGCTGTGAAGTTGCCACTCTGTCAGGCAAAGTGCAGCTCTGTGGTGTTGCTTTGTTTCAGCATGTCTTTCAAACAACAGAGTTAATGTCACTCGGTGTGCTTGGCAAAAACTTCTTCAGAATCTCTGGAAGGAACAAAACTGCTTGGATAAAAATCTGAGAAGCTATAATGCATAGTGGAGAATGGTACTCTGTCAGCAAACATGGACAGAAACAGCTCTTTCAGATTCTTTTAGAAATTTAGCACATACATGGACCCCTCTGAAGGTGCAATTTAATTTTTATCTCCTTTGATAATTACAATTTTCTGCTTCCCTTGGTTTATTTGGATAAAGCCTTGAGCAGCCTGGTCTAGTGGATGGTATCCCTATCCCTGCCCATGGCAGTGTGGGTTGGGACTAGATGATCTGTAAGGTCCATTCCATCCCCTTGACATTCTATGATTATTTATTATTTTCATTGCTAAGTACATTTTTAGTTCCACTCTAGTATTTATAAAGTTAGTATTGTGCATGTCTGTTTTTGAATACTTACAAACAGCAGTGGGTATGCTTCATCTTACCTGCCACTAAAAACATGGTAAACATAAAATCAGAGAAAACTCCTGTTGTGGGACATTTCATAATTTGTAGCACTAATAGAACACAAATGCCCAGGTATCTTGCCTGGTTTCAGGATGCATCTGGTAGTCTGGAAAGTTCATTAAATTTCACCTTTGTGTGGAGACACAAAGACCACACAAGGCAAAAAGTGATTATGAAGTTAGAGCAGTTGAATCCATTTCAAAGAACACAGAATGGTTGAAGGAATGTCTGGAGATCACCTAGCCAGGCCCTCTGCTCAAAACAGGGTCACCTACAGCAGGTTGCTCAAGACACTGATGACAAATAACTCTGGTGCAGGTAGCTCAGTTTGCAAGCTGCAGATTGAGCTGCTGATGGAGCTCGAGATGAGGCTGTGCACTGCCAACCCTCTGGTTAACAAGGAGCACAGAGACAGGTGGTGCCAGCCAGGTGGATGGACACAGACACAGCACGAGCAGAAGACTCAGCATGAAGAATGAGACTTCAGCACAGGTGGACTGAGGGTGTAAAAGCCCAGGTGTTGTGTTGTTGGGTGCCCCTTGCAGAGGCTCCAGCTCAGGCTGTTGCTGTGTTACTGCACAGTGAACAAACTGCTTGGTGGAACCAGATATCTGAGACTCTGCCACGGGGAAACCTGCTCTGAGTGTGAGTGGGGAACATGCTGGGAGTCAGGCAGGGCACAGGGGCTCACCAGAGCTGCCTGCTGTGCAGGGGCTTTGGTCTCTGGAGTTGGGAGTGTGGGGCTCACCAGAGCTGCCTGCTGTGCAGGAGCTTTGGTCTCTGGAGCTGGGAGTGTGACTGCAGGAGACCTTTGTGAATGGTCAGACTGAGAAGTTTCCTTAACTTTGCCCCACTGAGTTTTGAATGTCTCTGTTGATGGAGACTCCACAGTTTCTCTGGGCAACCTGTTTTCAAGTAACTTTAGAAGAAAGTTTTTAAAATGACATTTATACACATTTCCTGTATTCCAGTTTGTGCCCTTTGCCTCTTGTCCTGCTGCTGGGTAGTACTAAAGTCAGAGCTTTCTCCAGGCTGAACAGCCCCTGCTCACTCAGTGTCTCCTCATGTGCCATGCATTCCAAAACCCTAACCATCCTTCCCTCTGACTTGCTCATTAGGACCCAGCAACATCTTCAAAATACCTTTTGTGGACTTTGATATGACTGGGACCAGGTAGACAACACTAAATCTCTTCCTTGTCAGATGCCTCTAGTTGTTAATAAGTGGCACTTACCTGATAGGGTTGGATTTAAGATTTTGTGGCTTTGCTTTTTCAA